AAAAAAAAAACCAAAAAAAAACCCAGGATTGTTGTGTAACAGGGTGATCTGTTAATTATAAATCTGTTAGGGCAGAAGTGTAGGTGCTTCAGTGGTTGAGCTGTTACAGATGTTTGGGTCCCATTTCCCAAGTGGCCACTGTCTTTGGGAGGTCATGCACTTAACAGAGGTTTCTCCATCTTTGAGCAAGGAGAGAAATCCACTGACTGATCCAGCAGTCAYTTGRCCAAGCTAGCACGAGTCCCCTCAGSCTGCCAGGAGATTAGTCAGCTTTAGGGCCTTACCAGTGCATGGTTTCTGGACTCAAATGCTTGGGATCACACTGAGCAGAGCTGCCCCACSTGCTCACCACTGGCTGTGGAGCTGCAGCCTTGCTATCTCCATGTCCTGCTCCCCATCAGTAAATTCAAAATGGAAAGGACTGTATAATGCCTCTGGTAGTTTTTCTAGCAATGTGTTACATAGCCTTGAGCAAATCAGTTTCAGATTCTTCATCTGTACAAGTTTGATAATTATGCATAYCTTTCTGGGCAATGTTCTGTGAGATTCAGGAAGATACTCACAAGAACATTTTTTGTATAATGATATGTGTTGCGAGGCATCTCTGATGGTCACCTACCCAATCTTCTATAAAAGCAAGAAAAATGTTGAAGTTAGATGAGGTTGCTCAGGGTCTCATTCTGTTCATTTTGTCTGTGTTGAAGGTTTCTGCAGCCTCTCTGGGCAACCTGCTCCAGTGTTTAACCACKCCAATATTTTCCTCCCTATATCCAGAAAGGAATTTTTTTTTTGTTGCAACATCTGTTTGTTGTCTCTTGCTCATCTTTTTTGCGACCTATAGTCCCCTTCCTAGGGGTCTCGAGATCATCTTGCCTGGATAGATTTTTTCAGAAGCCTCTTTTATGATGTACACTTCCCTAGGAAGTAATTTTGTTTGCTTGTTTKTTTTACATTATTCACCGTAAATTCTTCAGAAATCATTTATTTTGCACATTTGTGCAAGGTCCTTCATCTTCCTTCTGCCCTCCCCAAGAATTTAATTTTTGGACCCATTTTAATAGTAATKTGCTTCAGAACAATTCAGATATGTATGGGACTGCAAAGACAAGCCAAAGGAAACATGCTTGATAATTCACATGCARAGGAACAGCTCTGGACATGCTTAGGAAACTGCATAATATAAAGATACCTGATRTAGGAAACAATACAGTCTGTCCAAGCTCCAGGACAAACAGTACAGCATGATGTCAAAGGGTGCAAAGAAAAAGCTGGAAGTAAAACAAAAATGTGTCCAAATTAATGCTGGTCGGTGCCATTATGGGCTGTTGGTGCCCTTGGGGATTCAACACTCTCATCTTCGGTTCTCCAGTGGCGTTTTCTAATCAGTGCATTTTTGTTGATCCTCCCAGGTGCTGAAATTCGTCCCTGAGGCTGGGCATGCCAGAAGAAAAGGCAGAATCAGGAACAACATGTCCTTAGTAGATATACAGCTGGATCACCATGAGCGTTGTGATTGTGTCTGCAGTTCAAGACCACCCCGATAAAAAAGGAGAACAAAAGAAAGAAAAGAAAAAAACAGACACACTAAATGCATTTTACTGGACATTTGCTTTTAAGCAGGATTGCTCTGAGGACCTTTACTCACTAATCATTTGAAATTTGCTACTAGCCTGCCTTTGCAATTAGCAAAATCATTGCTGTGCTGATTAGTGCCATGGCAACTAAACAGGTATATCATACATTTATGTATCAGCATCCAAGAACTTAGGATTGTGGTTATCTGTAAGTAGATTCTGAGGGTTGAGATTTTAAAAGATCAATTGCAGTCCTTAGGCACACAGTGTCCATTAAAATTAAATACCAGATGTGTAGGTATTTGTGGTAGTTGGCAATGAAACAGCATTGTGTTTGTTTTTCACTCAGCAGTTCCTACACTCAAATTCTGCTCCCATTTCTACCTCCTGGGCTTTCCTGATGGCAGGTAAGGTTTTATAAGTAGGTATAAATGAAGAGAGAATTTGAGTCTGTGTGAGTGTAGAACCGTTTGCCCCACTCTCACAGGGAACTTCCCAGCATTCTGGCCCAACAGAGTAAGAGAATGCAGAAAATCCATCATTACATGGAATAACACATCAGTAAAGTCGAATGTCATGGTTTGTGCTCAAGCAAATCATGTCCTGAAATTAGTAGATGCTTTGCCTAAGCCAGGACAGTGAGGGTGGTAGGGGGGTGCCTAGGCTGGTACTTTGGCCTTGGTGACTCCATCAGAACCCAGGTGCTTCCGAAAGAGAGGGCTCCTGCCAAGTCCCCATGCAAATACCTATGGTCTGGAGCTGATTTTGGTCACTCCCTACCTGATCTGGATTCCTGCCCCTTGCCCAGAGTCGCCCCACAGTTGCCCAAGAGGAGCCTCCTCTATACAAGGGAGAGACAGCCTTTCCCTTGGATTCTCCTCGCAGCAGTTTGAGGAGTGCCATGTTTTCCTGTGCAGGAGATGAAGATAGGGCACTTGTTTGTTGAAAATATTGATTTGTTTTGCAGTTGTGTTACTGGGAAACAAAACTGTGCTTGAGATTTRATTATCATAATTTCATTTGGGGTTTCTTTATTTGTTTGTTTTAAATATGGAGTACTATAACTTTGTCATGTATGCATCAATCTTAGTTATCTGAGGTTAGTTGTCTCATTCCAGATCTGTGTATTGCCATGGTTAAACTGTTGACAGTGAACTTTTTTTTGATTGCATTTTGCTGAAGCATGTTAACTCATTAAGCAATGTCTGCCAGTCATGGAAAATGTGCATCATTTATTAACTTCCAGAAGAATGTTACTAAATACCACCTCATAATAAAATTAGCACTTTAAAAGCTACAGCATAGCTTCTCATGCCTTTTAAACTATTATGAAAGTGCCCTACCTGAAAAAGGAGAAAAAAAAAAAAAAGTCCTTCCAAACTAGCTTTAAGGATTTTTAAATGCTGCTCCAAAAAAAACAGGCAGATTTAAGTCTGGCAAAGAATTGGAGTTTTGACCATGAATGTAACAGAGGGAATAGGGTGGCACATTTAATGGCTGAGGTTTTATGTTTTATGGTAGACACAAGCTGCATCAAATCATCTTGTGTTCCCTCTTGTCTTTCTGTATCTCTGAAAGTGAAGTAGGTTGGCAATAATGCATTATAATCAGTGGAAACTGGCATGTGTTATAAAATAATATGAGGCCTTCAAACCAGTATGTTTTAGTACTCTACAGGTTTGTTACAAAAGCGCCCTAATGTTATCATTTTCCTKCTTCATCAGCTCAAGTATTTTGTAAGTGCTTTTTGTATAATTTTAGCAAAACTTTGCTGAAAGATCCCTTAGGAATGTTGTGTTGCTTTCTTTCCTATACTTTAACCTTGCAGATTCAGAAAGTCTGGAGGTTTTATTATTTATATTAATTTTTCCTCTCTGGCTCCCAGATGTCTATTTAAAAATGCTCCTGAATGCTTACTTGGGAAGTGATTCATCATTTTTCAAAGCAATTCACATTAGAAGAACAGCCCTGTAACCAAAGATTACAACCTTCATTTCATAGTTCAGGACTATTTAAAGAACATCTCATTCTTTTTCTGTCTCTAGCTTAATAACAAGATTGGCCCAGCCCTTCCATAGTTTTTAGCTAAGTTTGGAAGAAATTTGCATGCAAGAACTTGGCAGTACTTGGGTTGTTTTTGAGACAGTGCACTCCTGTGTGTATCTGACTGAATCATGCCTGAGCATGCTAATTTCTTAGTTAGCATTGGTGGATCCAGCAGAAAAATTCAGATGCAAAGTAAGAAAAATCCTCTTGCTTAATGATGGGTTTACTTTTGTAAATATAAGCTAAGCTTGTCACAAAGTTTAAAGTATTACTCCTGGGACACTCACTAATGAATGGAAGCATTCACTGGTTCCTGCTGCCATACAGACACCATGCTCCCAGCCAGTGCAGGAGGGTCAAGAATGGGCTTTGTGTGGCAATGTGGGCATGATAACATACATGTGAACTAAGAAAAACTATCAAAAAACCCAAGTCCTGAGCTGCACTGACTCTGGTGAACCCAAATACCAATAAATCCTTTCCTTTTTATTTATTAGCAGAAATTGCAAAGGCATATTTCCATATTTTCTTACCTCTTTTGTCTATGTAATAATGTTATGTTGTTTACATACTATTTTAACTTAAAGAGCAAAGCTGGTGAAAACCTCATCTAGTGCAGTGTTATTGGTGGAATTGGACCCCCCTGCAATACATTTTCAAAGGCAATTCAGAGTCTTAATTTCAAACCACTCATCAGCTTTTTACCTACTATATTCTTCTGGGATAGAGCCTACTTTCTCAAGTGCAATCTATGTATATTTTTTTGTTATCTCAGTTAAATACAGCTTTTCTAGCAGTAYTTTTTACTTTATGCAGTATGTAATGTGTCTTATCTTGATGAAAAAATAAATAATGCTTTTGAAAGAGGATACTCTGAGTGATTATTCATAGCTTGGCTGAAGAAAAACCTGTGGTTTACTGAAAGACTTTTCCACAACCATCGGTACTCACAAGGTCTCCTGAATTTCAGCAGTCATTCCCAGGAGCACCCAAGAAGGACCAAAGTGCAGTTTTGGGATAATCAAGTTTGAATCCCCGAGCTGGCAGAGCTGACAGCTTCCTTGTGGAGCAGCAGCAGTGTGACAGCAGCATGGCATTGCTTAGAGCTGGATTAGGGCACCCCCCCATATTTGGTGCTGATCTCAGCCCCTGCAGGCTTGGCTTGGCTCCAGGAGAGATGTCCTCGCTTGTCTCACTGTAGCTGCTCCTTAGTGCCAAAGGAAGCTGCTGCAGCAGCTCTGCCTCTCACCTGAGCAAGGGCAGAGCTCAGCATCCAGTGTGTGCAAAGCAGCTGAAGGAGCCTAAGGCTTCTCGAGGTGCACAAATCTGAGCTGTGCTTCTGAGTTTGGGCATTTCCTTCAGCTTTGCCCGAAGCACATTTTGTTGTGTTGCAGCAAATAATAACTKCCTTAGCTTTGGTAACTACTTTCAGTTTAAGGTTTTTGGGTTAAGCTGAGGCTGCCTTAGGTCTTTGCTGGGTTCTTGAACTGAATAAGAACATGAAATTTTTGGCAAATTGATTATTCACTGGCTAGATCCCTGTCTGATAAGGGAAATACAGATAGCACACAGTAGTCTGGGAACCCAGCTTTGTAGTCTGACCTCATGCATGAACACCTTTTCCTATACAGTAATGATCTGAAACAGCCATTCCAATGAGTGAATTTATCCCTTCGGTTTGGTCTTTGTTACTCAGAGAAAAAAAGTTATATTTTGTCCTTTTTTTTTTTTTTTGGCAGTCAGAAGTGACATTTTGTAACAAAGGAATCAGTTCCCCTAGGTACAGTGAACAGCACAGTGAACTCGGTAGAGGAGATATTTTTTGCCTTTCAGAAATGCACTGAACACACTACGTAGACAGCAGCTCAGCAACTGCAGAATGTTCAAGGATGGTTGTAAAGCTCCTCCCACTTGGCATTGCTACCCACCTCTGTAACTAATAGCTAGCCAACACCATTTTGTCCTTATGCTCACAGGACAAGGAGCGTGTGAGTGAAAGCTCAAATAAATCTAAAACTTGGAAAGCAGCTCTGTGTCTCTTCATCTGTAAAAGTATATGGTTCCCAAGGTCATTCAGAAACTCACCACTGCTTTTTCTAAAAATAGAGGGTTTTTTAAACATTCATCTTCTCCTTTTTGAAGAACGCAGAATCTTTATCTAGTTAATTTGAAGATCTGTAATAGCTGTAGAAATACTCCCCTGTAAATTCAATTAAGACTTCTCTTGCTCTTGTCCAGAGTGCATTGCTCATACACACTACAGTAATGTAAATTCAGCAGATGTCCAATTTGTACTTATTCTCCCAGGGACTCCAGTGCAGCAGATAATGAAAAATTAGAAACTRGTATTCCTGTCTCTCATTCTAAGAGCTTTAACTTTGTTTATTGACAGTCTTGGTCATATATACTGAAATACATAACATTCATAGTTTATTTGGTCATTCGTTGACAGGCCRTGAAAATCTGCTTTAAGTGTTCAAAGTGCAAATTTAATTTTCCRCTTCTTTTCAAAGAATCACAGAATGGCTTGGGTTAGAAAGAACCTTAAAGATCATCTAGTTCCAAGTACTTATCCTAGAAAYGGAATTTCCAAACCAGCAAATGTTCTGCCATGAATAATAGGAGAGAAATATTCTCTGTTCAGTCTGTCTTCTGAAATTGACTTGACTTAAGACAGTCTGAAATTCTTGCAGCAAAAAAAATATATTTCAAAGCTGAGTTTATACAAACTGATTTTTGAAACTGAGTTTAAAAACCTCATTTATGTATTGCTTATAAAAACTTGCTGTGGCATAGATATGCTTTAATAAAAATGGTAATAGTTACATAATAACTGTTAATGTATTTGATGCTCCAGTTTCAAGCTGACAAAGATTTCTGCTTCAGTTGAAACAATTCCAGTTTCAGAACTAGTACAAAGCAAACAGGATAAGAAGAAAAGGGTACCTGTCATATTTTGACATAAAGGGTCAAATTCTTTGACATAAGAATGAAGTTAATGAATAAGTTAAGAAACCCTTAACTTTTATGCATTGCATTTCCTTAGAAAAATAATAGCATACATCTTAACCTTTTTGTTCTGTGTTTGAGTTTGGARGGTATCATCTCAAGTAGGGGATGCACTGAAATGAGTTCTCTCAGTTCAGTCTGAAATCAGTTCACCCTTTCTGAAATGAGGATGGTCTGGAGAATCACCCTTCATATCAATGCAATTCTGTCAGATCTTTCCATGTGCTCCCATTTGTCATCACTTTGTGTCAAAGAGTAAATTAATTTGGTTTGGTAATACGGTATTTCCAGTTGCATGTATTCTGGGAAGGAAGAGGATTTGCTCCCCAAAAGAGAGGGGAAAACACTGAGGAATCCCAGACTGGCTGAGGTGGGAAGGGACCCTCTGGAGTTGGTCTTGTCCAGTCCTCTCTTCAAAACAGGGTGATCTACAGCACAGTGCTCAGTCCTGCCCAGCTGGATTTTTAATTTCTTCAAGGATGGAGACTCATCTCTTTTTTTCTAGACTTTATTTATAAAGAAAGGAAGGGTGAGACATCAGTTTTGATGAACTCTGGAGACAGGGAAAAGTCTGACAAACTCTTGGCCCTCCACTGAGGGCTCATGGGAGACTCTCCAGTCCAAGATGAACAAGCCCTTCTCCTGCCCTGCCAAAGGCAGCCCCACATGTATCCAACAGGATCACCAGGATGGTAAATTCCAGGAGCAGAGAGAGCCGCATATCAGGTGACGTGGGGAGAAGGGCCAGACATCCAGGCTGGAGGATTTTCCCTCCAAGGTACARTAACCATTTTTTGGCTKAAATGACTAAAGGTGTCTGCCCACRCACGGGAAGGAGCAGAGGGACATATGGCAGAGGRAGGAGGCCCGGTCACCTCACCAGAACAATGGAGACCCAACACCCTCACTCCAGGCCTTCCTGGAGAGTCCCAGGGGTGTGGAATACCCATTCCCCCATCACCCCAGAGGGAGGGGTGGCCACTGCCAGGGTGCAAGGACCATCACAGGATGGATTGCCTCAGCCTCCATCCAGCTCCAGACTCAGGAGCTGCTGTTGCTGTCCTGGAGGCCACCACAGGGATCCTCATGCTTTGTGGTAACACTGGAGACTGCAGTGTTTTGCAGCTTCCAGATAGATTCTTTCATTAAGGCATAGGAAAGCAAATTGTGCAGTTCCCTGGAACATACAGGTTGGGTGCAGTGCAGAGCAGAGCCCCCAGAGCATCTTCCTGAACTTGCAGAGCACCTGATGTAAGGGGCCTTCATTAAACTGTTCTGATACCCGACAGATGGCATTCACTGCAACCTTTACATCAAAATACCAACCCTTGGATTCTGTTGCTAATTTATTTTGAAAGGTCAGGCAAGGATTTGTGTGCCCTCAAGGAATTGGTTGCGTTATAGGAAGCTGCACTTTCAGCATTCAAATAACCCCACACGAGCAAAATGCTGCAATTTTCTCAGTTTAACTGTATCTGAACACCAATTACACAACTGATTATTAAATGAAGATAAGCCATGTAGGCTTGCATGAAGAAGACTAATTGGTTTTTTTCAATTAAAATAAAGACACTTGGGTCCAAATTAAGACCCTGACAAGAGAAGGTAAGCAAATTAGTTTCAYTGGGAAATGCAGCTACCGCATACCTGAAATCTTCAGAAGCGAATAAGTCAGCAATTTTAGTAATCAAAAGAGAAGCATCCCTTGAAAAGTCCTTCTATGTAAAGCTAATTCAAGGAGCAAATGAAAACTAATCCTTGCATTTTAATATCTTGCAATAAGCTATGGCCAACATCAAGGGCTTTTTATTCTATCTGAGTATATAATTTCTCCTGCCTGACAAGCTTTTTAGGAAGCTATGCAACTTCCATCAAACACCAAACTGCTGTTCTTTACCCCTCACAAATTGCTTATTGTAAAACAGACACCAAAGGGTACTCCTTGAACAGACCAGAGCTCCCATGGACACACAGATCACAGGATGTTTAGAATGATTTGTGTATGTGTGCCGAGGGAATTTTCTCGTGTCTGATGTGTTTAAAGGCAGTTTGCTTTTAGTTTCCAAAACACTACGTAGAATATTCATGTAGGACCCTACTGCATAATCAACAGTGGCTATAAATTGGCAAAGTAATAACCCACCCTTCATGTGAAAGTGATAACCCATCTCTAAACCATGTTTRTGGGGCATCTGCAAAGTGAACTGTTCCTCTCACTGACACCTCCTGCCTTTTCCAGTGCATYCTGACACTAAACCAGATTAACATTCTACAATGTCTGATCCCCTCTGACATTGACCTGCAGGGACATACAAGTAAATACTCGACAACTGGTTTGATCAAAGAACCAACTTGGTATTTTTTTAGTTTATCAGAGTGAACRCTGACACACAATATTGTCATTTACTCTTTATAAAACATGCATAAGCCATATGTTTAGATGCAGCATAAAATAGGTAAAAAGTTGCCCATAGATCAATGCTGGAATTTTTAAAAGATCATGCTAAAGCCTTTAACTCAGAGAAAACTCAGAGGCTGCATGCTCCAGGAAAAACAAATTATCTGGGTGGTCCTTGAAAACTGCAAAGGACCTTATGAACTTTCCTGCATGTAGAGCACCTGATAAGGTATCGAATAACTGAGAAACTTGCTGTACAACAGTGTGTGATAAATTACACTTAAGTARTAGTGGATTTTCTAATCTCAGGAAGTTTTCAGAGTAATTTCTTTAACTATATTTTGTTCCAATCAGCTTCTCCTGCTCAATTTAATAAAATATRCAACAATCCTGTGATCAAAAGCATCTTGGGAACATATCTGTGTATGCATAAATATAGCCACATATGYGTATATAAAAACA